GATATTACTGCCATATTAAGAGAGAACCCCGTATGAGCATTCAAGAGTTACCAAAGTTTTTTAGAGAAGTTATGCATATTTTTCCTTGAAATTTTCAGATATTTTAGATTAAATCGCTAAAAATTTGTCTGAAAAATTTGAACAAAATTATTCGCAACTTTTCCAGTAAATTCGTTTTTTTAATAAAAGAGGTGAACCAACGTTTGAGGGCTCATACGCCGTTCTTCCTTAGCACTGCAGATCACTCATTACTCTAAAAGTAGCCGATAGAGACAGTACAAAAATAAAATCACTACAAAATCGATTATTTTTCACTGTTCAATTCATAATGCTTCACTAGCTACTTTTGACAGTCATTGTTTAACGCTTTATAGTCATTTAATTTTCTCATTGCAGCTCAGATACTAGTAGGTCAAGTATCAGTGTTTTTGTAGTAGGTATTTACTTAACTTTACAGTTCTGATTTATCTCCTTAAAAAGAATGTTTCATGTTGATTTCATGTTTTTGTAAGAAAAATACGATTATCTAATGTGCTCAACTTTTGTTTCATTCAATTAACTACCCTTTTCCTGTTTGATAATAACTTCTCTGTGCCGAATAACTAACAAGTTTTCATCGTTTATTGTGTGTTACAGTCGTGGTTTTTAGCATGCCTTGTTATTACTTGTCTGAAAAACCGTTTTCATCTTTGACCCTAGCTTCAATTAAATTGCTACTAATTGTCTGGTAAGTACGTACATTTCATGTCCTCGATTTTTCTTTTAATTGCGATTTTCTGAGCATTATCATTGAAAAATGTTAATATGATCGAAGTCAAGTCCATCAGTTTTTATCTTAAAGTGTGTTACTATTATCTACCATTGCCCTGATCTATTGCAGAATCACCGGTTGTTGACCAAAGTGCGCAACGACGTATCTCCATTGCGATGTTTTAAAATTCTTGCTCTTGCATATTTTCTCAAAAGAAAAAACAAGCCAATTTAATACCTTGAATTTTAAGCATAATATTGTGCAAACAGAGAAGAAACGAGGAAGTTATAAAAAAATTACGTTGACCTGTTTTCCAAAGAAAAAATAGAGTAAGACAGGAATTCTACAACATTGCAGACGGAGATACCTCGGCCATATATGTGTACATATATCTAAAAATTTAAATAAATGAAGTATAGGAAGTCTGTCAACTTTCAAAAGAATGGATGTGAGGTTTTTTTATCTGAAGGTTTTTTATCAGTTCACCTCCTTTTGTGGGAAAAAATTGAATTGCGAATTGCCATCTGATGGTTTAAGCTGATAGATTAGTCAAAATTATAAAGATCTATTCAAAAGCTAAGTTTCTATGTCCCATATCAATGAACGTATTGCTATGCACGGCATATGACTTTGTCCATAGTGGTAACGCACACCATGGTTTCTTTCAGCTTAGTGCAATCAGTCAGTGATTCTTTGCACTGATTGCTGCATGTAAAAAATGAACAAAACCAAGGTGGAAGTAAAGCAAGTGTCCGGTATGCACCACCATGGTTGATGATATCATATACTTACTATATTTTGACGGACAATATCATTGTTAACATCAGACGAAGGAATTTGGTTCTATCTTTCAACCAAACCATCAAAGATCGATTCTGCAACGAGCACATCTGATCAACTCTTTTTCCCCTTAATTGCAAATCTAAAAGAAGTGAGTCATCTTATTTAGTTAAGAGACAGTTCTATTTGAAAAGAGTTTGGTTTTTAGATGAAGCCAACCGTTAAACCTTTTGATTTCTTCTCTGTATCATTCAAAATCTGTAGAAACATTGTCCAAGATTCTCTCACTTCTGAAAGAGATTTCATTGTGTGTTCTTTTAATTTTCAGTTGCGCCTCAAATTTTATCATCAACACTGAAAGACAAAGATGTGTATGAATCACTTCCGAACAAATTTGAAATTGTTGCTTCAGCAGAACCGAGACCTGAAGTGAAATGGTAAGCAATTTCTCTTAACAGGTTTTATTGCACCAACACATTCAAATACAAGATCTAGATCTTTGTTTTGTGAATCAAATCAGAGTTTGAGTACTATAATCGTAATTTTAAGGAAAGTAGACAAGAATTTAGTCCAAATTAGTCTAAATTGTTTTGTGAAAACTCTGTCAAGGACTTTTGCTCTCCATAATGGTTTTACGAATATGATTGAAAAGCAAATAAAGTGAAATCAAGAACAAGTAAATTTCTAGGAATTACACACACTAAAAAAACTAGAACTTTCCCTTCTTGCTAATTTTTTTCTTACTGCTGAATTTTACAGAGTAAATATTTCAGGTATATTCATACCTCAAAAAAGGTACCTTTGAGGTCAATTCCAAATAAGTATGTAATAGAATTTGCTCTCTTTGATGGATGTCTGGAGAGCTATGTGTAAGAGTGGGTTTAACTTTTCAAAAGATAAAGAAATATGATCTATTTGCAGTGTCATTTTCACCCCTTTTAGTTGGTTCATCTTTAACTTAAAAAGGTTTTTTTATCTCTACAGGTTAAAAGATGGTGAAGAGATAAGTCCCTCAGACACTCACACGGTCTTAACGAAAGATGGAGATACTCACCGGCTAGAAATTTTGGCTACAGAACAGGCTGATGCTGGTGTCTACACCTGCAAAGTGACGAACAGACTCGGTGAAGTTGCGGAATCTGGAACTCTCAACATCTTGCGTAAGATTTTATTTATGATTTGTTTTATGAAAGGATGTTTAAACAGAAAATTTTCAACTAAAAATGTAAGCATTGCAAAAACTTTCACTCGCTCCAATGAAGTGTAAGTGAGCAGTCAATCTTCAATTGAACAGCAATTGAGCTGAAATGTGTCAAATCCACACATTTCCCCCGTTATAGTTAAGTTGCCCTATTCTCTGTTTATGCTTAACCATAAAATGCGAAATATTCTCAGAAAACTGCCCTTGGATTTTTGAAAACATAAGAATAAGGCTGGAAGGAACTTTCTTAATTCCCGACGAATTGAAATGGAAAAGTTTTCAAGGATTCTGATTAATTTTATTCCACCTGAAAAGTGTCTAGGTATTTTTTTATCTCGAATACTGTGTAATTCATTTCTTTAATTGAGTTTTCGAGTTTGCAATCTCCCACCCTGATTTTTTATGAAATTCTTGATCTTGCTTGTGCCCTTCTCTGATCGCAAAATAGCCTAGAAATTTCGATTTTTTACCATATCAAGTTCTTTTATAGATTCTTAGTTTTCTAGTAATTTGATCAAGAAATAGTAAATCGCTCCTTTAACTTCCTGAATCGGAAATGTTTATGCAAAAGCTGTTTTTCTAACGGAGGCATCCATCGCAAAAAGTCTCATTGCATACAAATGCACTTATTTAGAGGATGAAGAATAAAAATTCCTTTCATCTTGTATCGAAACCTTGTTTCTCTATGGTCATAAAAAAAGCGTATGTTGTTATGGTTTGATCTTTTAATTGATGATGAAATAAAACTCTCCATCGTCAGATTTTGTTTCGTGGCTCTCAGTGTATCACTCTTCCTGTCAGAATTCTTTCCTCGGGGAAACTCCTTTTTCTATTACCCCATTTTTTATTTCTTAGCTGAAAGTTTGTATCGGTGTCCGAAAGTCAAAGTTCCTATTCAAGACACCAGATGTCCAAAGCATCAATCTGGATCAATTGCTGCTGTCTTTACTGCTGACCCGATTCCTGAATTCAAGTGGTAAGTTCTCGCTACTTGTTTAATTTCTATTGATTAATTTCTGGTTCAAATACAACCTCTTACTGTCGTGAGACTAATACCTTAGTTAAAAGATTACATTTAATTAATTTCACTTACTCTTGCAGTATATACAACCTAAATTTCGTACCTTTTTACTGTTGCTATTTCTATAAAGAGAAAAACATTATATATCTTTCTAGTTAATATTTGGTGAACTATCCAATCTTTTGATCAAAGTTTTGGATAAACCGGTCATCACCTTTTTTCCCCTTTATCTGAATGTTCATTTTATCAACCACCAGAAAAAGAAATCAGCCTTGCTGAAATAAAACTTCAACCTCTTTCTCCTATTTGTGTGTACCTCTGTTTTTTTGTTTTGGTTTTTTACAACACTTTAAGTTAAAAAGGGTGTTCAGTTTTAAGTAGGCATTGGTATTTCTAGATTGCCTAAATTGGCATTTCTGACTAAGACAGAAACTTGTATAGTTTTTTATAGTTATCTGNAAAATAACCATACTTGGAAAAATGTGTGTCCGTCCGTCCGGCGTCCCCCAAATCTGTCTACAGCGCTATCTCAGAATCTATCTGTTCGATTTCACTCAAAATTGGCACAGGACACCATATCTATGGTCTCCTTATGCACGTCCAACGATTTTG